AAACCATTTCAGGTGACTACCTCTTGAAGCTCATGGAGAGAATGCCAAGAGTGTGCAAAGCAGTAATCAGAGCAAAGGGTGGCTATTTTGAAGAAACTAGAATATAAAACATGTTTTCAGTTATTTCACCTTTTTTTGTTAAGTACATAACTCCACATGTGTTCATTCATAGTTTTGATGCCTTCAGTGAGAATCTACAATGTAAATAGTCATGAAAATAAAGAAAACGCATTGAATGAGAAGGTGTGTCCAAACTTTTGGCCTGTACTGTATGTATAATTAGTTGAGTTTGTTCTTACATTATCCCAGACTTTTCCAGCAATGTTACACACAGGGAAATCTGATATCATAATCAAGGACACGATACGTGTCATTTGGTCACCGTCACCTGTCAGTGGCGTCATATCCCCCCTGCGTATTTGTCATAAATTGACTTTTTATTTCGTTTTAAGCCCCTTATTTATGCTACACTTTTTAAATCTTTATTGTTTTTTGATTTATCTTAATATTTAGACTAGATGAAGGATTTCAAGTCATAGCACATGCTAATCTAAAGTAATCACCCTAGCAAACAGCGGCAGCAGCTCGGCTTCAACCCCTGCTGTGCCGGAGAGCATCAGAGAAACACTGATATTTAATGTGAAGCTGCTTTCTTCAGTGTTTTTACCAGCTTACATCACAAAGTCTGTTTGTTTTGGAGAGAAAGAGATCTCTGTGGATTTTTGGCTCACAATAAAAACTTTGCGAACAATGAACACTGAAGGAATCCTGATCTGGACAAACTAACGGCCACGTCTTCGTCAGGGTTCAGTGAACAAGGGGCAGCCAAAACATCTGAGCTTTTTCCTCCCCAGTGCTGAACATAGAAACAATGCATTAACAGACACATCATACCCTCAGCCTGTTACATAAACACAGGATCTCCTTCACACATGGATGCACAGAAACCAACAACATGCATCCACTTACATAATCTCAGAAGCAGCCGAGCTTTTAATATAAAACCATATGTTGATTTGAATTGCGGAAAAATTCACGCTTCAGCAAGTGCGTGCCATCTCATTTAATAAACGATCTTTCATTACACTGATGGATGCAGTTTAGACTGCGACAAAATGGAAAGGTGTGGAGGAATTTGAAGATAGTTTTATCACACTAACGGATAATTTAATGTACATTATTGGCTTTAAAGGGATAGTTCAGTTTTTTTTAAAGTGGGGTTGTATGTGGTGCTAATATTATTTAAATATTACTTTAGATATTAGTTTAAATGTGTGCTATATTTAGAATATTTTCACCTCTTTACCTTGCTGTCAGACAGCCTGCCTGATGGGGAACTAAAGCCATTATCTGTGCTGTCTTTAAAGCCAGACTCTAATTTTACCTTGCAGAACATGGAAGCTGCTCGTCTACAACTGCCTTGATTAGTTAGTTTGTTTGTGTGACTTTAGTGTCTTTAAGGATTAGTTTGAATTCACCAGATTCATACCCAATCTATACAATGCTAACACTGTTTAGGGACCCCAGTATGCAGAAATATTCAAATACAATAGGAGATAATAATGCATGGGATTAGCATAAAGTGGGCATGTCTGTAAAGCTGAAGTTGATGGTATTTATTTGTTTGTGTCTGGGGATGTGTGCCCTTCATGTAGGCAGAGTGTCACTGAGCGCAAGCAATTCATCGTAGTTTTTTTGGTAACACTTTACTTGAAGGTATCTACATAAGGGTGACATGACACTGTCATAACTATGACATGACACTGTCATGAACTTGTCATGAACATTATGTACATGTCATAAACATTTATGACTGCTGTGATTAAGTGTCATTCGGTTTTTGTAATGACAAGTTGACATTGTTTGGGTTGTCTTGACTATGACAAGTTGACATTAATCAAAGTGACATTACCAGAAGATGTCTTTGTCATGACAAGTTGACATTATAAGGACATCCCAGGACATGTGAATAATAATCATTATGTAAACTTGTCACAAACACAAAAAGAGGTGCATTTCTCATAATGTCAAGTTGTCATGACAAAGACATCTTCTGGTAATGTCATCCTGGTTAATGTCAAGTTGTCATTATAAGGACATCCCAAACAAATTTAATGTCAACTTGTCATGACAAAGACAACTTCTGGTAATGTCATCCTGGTTAATGTCAAGTTGTCATTATAAGGACATCCCAAACAAATTTAATGTCAACTTGTCATGACAAAGACAACTTCTGGTAATGTCATCCTAGTTAATGTCAAGTTGTCATTATAAGGACATCCCAAACAATTTTAATGTCAACTTGTCATTACAAAAACAGAATGACACTTAATGACAGCAGTCATAAACGTTTATGACATGTACATAATGTTTATGACAGGTTCATGACCGTGTCATGTCATAGTTATGACAGTGTCATGTCACTCTTATGTAGATACCTTCAAGTAAAGTTTTACCGTTTTTTTAACACATGACATGAACTGTGAAAATGGTCATGGCAGGTTTTCCCCCTGCCAAAATGTAGCCTAAATTTGGAGCATTATTTAACCCCCTTTTCTGACAAGCTAGCATGATATTGTTGGTACCAATGGATTCCTTACATCTTCTAGTTTCATATGCCAGTATCATGTCTCTAGCTTTAAAATGCAGTCTGTTACAGCCTCCGAAAGACACTAATATCGGCCGGAACATTGGCGTTCACACTAAGTGGAAGAGATTTAAATATTATCGGTCATACACAGTTCCTAAAAAATAATTGGACTAGAACTAGTTAAATGAAAATGCAAATGTACGTTCAATAAACCACATTCTTTACATGAGTTTGATTTATACTTTTTAAAAAATCTTAAAATAAGTTATCATCTAAAAACGTATATCATCTGCCAGTGCAGTGAAGCAGTGGTGAGATGTGATTTGATATGAGATTGACTTAATTGTTTTGTCCCACTTATGGACGCGTGAATCAGCTGTAATTGATGCTGTATCACAAACAGACTAGAAACAGCCACAGATGATTACAATCAGCCCCCTTTTGTTATATGAACTGATGTTAATGCTGATGTGTGTGTGTTGCAGCTCACTGCTCTCATCTGCGGCTTCATTATCAAACTGAGGAACTGTCTCCGTGACAACGGATTCCTCCGACAGCTCTACACCATCGGCCTGCTGGCTCAGTTTGAGTCCCTGCTCAGCACCTACGGTACAAACACACACACACACACACCTTTGTTTTACTCTTAAACCCCCAACTGTTACAGATTCGTCAGATTATCACTGTTAACCACGCGTGTGTTCCCAGGAGAGGAGCTGGCCATGTTGGAGGACATGAGTGTCGGCATCATGGATCTCCGTAACGTCACCTTTAAGGTAGGAGGATGTTTAGTTATGTGAACACTGCAGCTGCAGGAGGATAGTAAAAAGCTACGTTTAATTATACTTTTACTTCACTCCTCCTCTGTGGTTTTTATTGCCCTTCTTTAGTTCCTTGTCATTTTTTATTCTGCTTTATTTCCTCATTCAGTTTCACTGACATGTATTAACTTTGATGCTCCTGTTGTTTCTCTGTTTTACGTCTCTGTTGAGATTGAAAGTGTAATAAGATTACAGGCTCGTTATCAGAGCTGCGACGATTAATCAGTTAGAAGATTAGTTGTGCAGCTATTTCAGTAATCACTTAAATCTTTTCTTCTTTGTAAAGGCCGAACATTTTCAAATATTCAGAATCAACGTGTATCAATCCTGTGCCTGCATGTTCATACGCTGAACATCACTTTCAGGTGACCCAGGCCACCGGCAGCTCCGCCCCCGATATGTTGCCGATCATCACAGGTAACCGTGACGGCTTCAACGTCCGCATCCCGCTGCCGGGAACCATGTTCGACGCGTTGCCGCGGGAGATCCAGAGCGGCATGCTGCTGAGGGTCCAGCCGGTGCACTTCAACGTCGGCATCAACGAGCAGCAGACGCTGGCTGAGAAGTGAGTGAGTAGGAGAGGAGACAAAAAAGACTGAGGTTTTGGGATGTCAGTTACACAGACGTTTTGGCAGGACGCGTGAGTTCAGGCTGTTCTGCAGCGCTGTGTAAGGAAGAATGTGTTTCTCTGTGTTGTGCAGGTTTGGAGACACATCCCTGCAGGAGATCATTAACTTGGAGAGTCTTTCCAGGCTGAATTCATACTACGAACAGTTCAAAGAAGTCCTGCCTGAAGACTGTAAGTACTAAAGTGCGCCAGAGTTCAAAACATAACAACAGGGCAGGGAACTACCTTTTCCTTCCAGTGTGTGCAAAACAATATCTTCAGTGGTACTTTCTTCCAATCATCCATTTTCCCTCTTTTTTTTCTCACCTGAACTTCCCGTCTTTCCCCCCAAACCTCAGGCCTCCCGAGGTCTCGTTCTCAGACTTGTCTCCCTGAGCTGCTGAGGTTTCTGGGGCAGAACGTCCACGCCAGGAAAAACAAGAACGTGGACATCCTCTGGCAGGCAGCTGAGGTGCGATTCTGCTTTGTTGTACATCAGACACTTGACAGAATTGAAACCAGTGTTGAATATAAGACCCTTACTTCTCTTAAAGACCCAGTCACATGAAAAACACATTTCCTCTTACTTGATCCTGTATTAACTGATCACTTATCTCTAGTTATTTGCCAGGTAAAAATGTTTCAATTGTTTGATGACTCATCATGCACTCAGGGGCGTTTAGAGAAGTTCATCCAATCAAAACTTTGGGCCACTAGCTAGAGGGTTGTAGAAGCTACCAAACAGCAACCCTCTGTGTTTGGATATCAGTGGGCAAACCTTTGTTTTCATTTCTAAAACAATGTGACAGAGGTCTAATTTATTCATCTCTGCTTCTACCTCCTCCTGATCTCGCAACAAGAGCGCTTTCAGCCAATCCATCCCACGTTCCATCCTACCCTCACTCAAGAACAAGACCCCAAGATACTTGAACTCCCTCGCTCACATATCAGTGTAGAATAATAACAAGATAATAGATGCCAAGATGGCCCCTTAAAGTTTCTAGCCTCCAAGTTTACTTCCACGGTTTTATCGAGAAACTCCAGACTCGCCCACTTTTTAACGATCCAATTAAATGCAAAGAATTAACCTTACTCTGCTCAAATAATCTGTTTCACCGGTAAATACATCACAGTACAAAGCTAAAGATGCTCACACTTCTGTTTCAACTCTAAAACAGCTGAAAACATACATGCTAAATGTTTGTATTATAAATTTGAGTGTGGTTTGACCCAACGGAAAGAGCACAGAGTTTCTTCCCTCTCTGTCTCAGATCTGCCGCCGGCTGAACGGGGTTCGTTTCACCAGCTGCAAAAGCGCCAAAGACCGCACGGCCATGTCGGTGACCCTGGAGCAGTGCCTGATCCTGCAGCACGAGCACGGCATGGCGCCGCAGGTCTTCACGCAGGCCCTCGACTGTATGCGCAGGTAGGACGCCATCACAGTGCCTGGATGAGAATGTGACTGAAAATCACACCTGGGCAAAAAACAAACGCAGACTTAACATTTTGAACCTTTCAGACACATCGACGTTTATAAAGTGATGCAGCATGAGTTGACTTCATCATTGAAAAGCATGTTTTGCCCACGTGTGATTTGAAAAGCATTGCCTGCTCCCTGTGTGAAACAAACTGATGTAGAGTTGCTGGTTCATCTCAGAGGGGATACTTGAATATTTTGAAATTCAGTTGGTTGCTCACTTCCCCAGACTCTTGTCACAAAGGTCTAGAGAAGAAAGGTGCCAAACTGATATTCAAGTGAGAGGATCCTCTTTGGATTGTGTGTATTGGGTGCCTGTTGGTCTGTTTGTACGTCTTCTTGTCTTCGAGTCTGTTCTGTCTGTACATCCGTCTACATCCATTGTCTTGTCCTTTCTGTGCAGCTGTTTCAGAGTCTGAGTTGCTAACAGGCTGGCACAATCTTTTTCCTTTGTACCATCGGAGCACTTGACTTCCTGTCGTCGTCACCTTTTTCTTTTCCTTTGTCCCTTCTTAATTTTTTTTTTCATTCATTTTCAAACTGGGTGGTGTAAGGAAAGATCTAACTGCAGCCAAGTCGGAGAGTTTTTGTTTTGTCGCATGGGAAATTTGGTTTGTAGCATGGCAAAAACATACATACAAAAGCAAACGCATCCATCAGTAAAACGAATAAAGAAAATGGCATATTAAAGGAATACTTCATCCCCCAAATGACCGTTTGTATATCAATTTCTCACTTTGTTGCATTGAATTTGAAAAGAAAACTTTGTTTTTCCGGTATGCCTTTGCAGTGACAGAAGAATCAAAACACGTGAGTCATAGACGTCCAGGTTTAACAACAGCAAAACTATATCAAAACATCCGTGTAGTATAATCCAAGTCTCATTTATCCAGTCGTATGCTCAATCCTTCGCAAAGACCTTTCTGACTTAAAGTGAAACTTATCTATCGAGGGGTGAGTACCAAAGCCACACATTCCCATTCCAGCCTCGTCACATACTGACATTTGGTTATGGACTTTCCACGTCGAGATATGACGTCCTCCCGCCCTACATACTTGGACTTTTGCTGCCTTAACTTTCGTTGTTGTCCTGCCGCGTTTCCCCCTGACTCTGCCAGGCGCTGTTAAACAATAACGGTGACTGGCCATGTATCATACCAACGTGAAAGGACAGCTCTTTTTGTTGGCATCTGCCATTTTCGACAACTTCAGAGTGAGCGTGTGGGTCCAAAAGGGTCCACATGTGACATTCTGGGCAAAACTGAGTTATATAAATTAAATGAAAGCTCTTGGTGAGGACTTTCTGCTACTTAAAGGGCATTTGTAAATTCTAAAACCAAAAGATTTACCTCTGTTTGGGGCCAAAAAGGGCGTGAGTGCACTTACTCAACCGCACTTTTGGGCCCCTGAAACCAGGGTGAAGTTCTTGGAAGACTCTGGTGCCAGTAGTTGCATGTAGATAGGATGACCGCAGTATTTTATTACCCGTCTCCATTGTTTGATGTCAGAGCGACGGTAAATAGCTAGTGAAATGGCAGACCAAACAAACATGCTGGTGCTAACTTTATTTGTGAGCGTGCTATCTGCTCTCTTTGAATGGCATATCCAGCTGCTCGACCTAATTCAACAGCAGAGGCACCTGAACAACCAACGAAGGAGGCTGCTCCTGTTGCTAGCTACCTCAACTACACGACTTTTGAGGTTTGGGTTGTTTTTATTTTCCGCACTTCCCTATTCCGATATTGACTCTGACTTCTGATTGGTTAAAATGGCCTTTCTGTTAGAAGTTACATCGCCACCCACTGGCATGTGTATTCTAACACTTGGTAGCGGGTTTTGCGGTTTCGTGTTGATATCATATTTTTGAATCACACCACTCGTGTGGACCAATTTTTTTTGGAAACCGGAGCCCGAAAAACTTTGGTTTCAGAAGTACAGGGGTCCGTGTGGACTAGGCCTCAGTAAATATGAAATATTGTTCATTAGGGTGACACTAATGTAATCCTAGGTATTCTTCTTTCTTCTTTCTTCTTTCTTCTTCCGAGGAAATCATACTTTGCACAAAGGTCCAGTCTCATGCCAGATATCCTCAGCTGTAAACTCAAGCCAATAGTCCTGATGGTGGCGCTACAGCAAGCGTCTAAAGTTCAAAACTTTGAAAATTCATAACAAATCAACCATACGTGCTACAACTTCACAACTTTCATCAAACTGTAGCTCCAATACTGAAGAAACCTTTGTACATTTAAACCTATTAAAAATTATGAAGTTCATCACTCTGTTTTTTTCAAAAACTGTAAAACTTCTTAAACCTATCTCCTCCCACAATTTTTGCTCAATTGACACCAAACTTGCTACAGAGCATCTTCAGACTGTCTTACACAAACTACGTTTCTCAGATTTTTGATTTATCAAAAACTGAGCCTACAGTGCATCAAAATGTTTGACTGTAAACGGTACTGTAAACATATACATGAAAATTCTTGCTAAATAAATCTTCAGTGTTCATGAAAACAAATGACAAAATTCTAGAGTCATGCTAGATGATGTGTGGCAAATTTCAGAATTTTATCTCAAAAACTGAATTTTTGACAGCATTTTGAATTTCGCTCTCATGTGAACAATTGGAGTCAATGTAAAAATGGCAATTTTAAACATCAGTTTTTCACTTATGGAGCAAATCAATCATTGTTACAAACAAATTACCAACATCTCCATGCTGTCTAGATGCAATATGTGTATTTTCAGATTTTTGTTTTGATAACTGAATTTTTTACAGTGGTTTGAAATCTGCTTTTCCATGCATGGACGGCTGCTAAACCTGCACATCTGGCTTAGTCAATTTGTGAAGCTACACATGAATTGTCACTGACTAATTAGCTCAGTGAGATAGAAATTGATTCTTAGTCTCAGAGGTTGTGAGTTCAAGCCTCAGCTGATGCAAAAGGCAGATTGTGTTGCTAAATTCCTAAATGTCTTCCAATTCTTCTGCTTGTTGCTCAGAATTGCCTAAAAATGCCCGGACCCGACCCATCGCTGCGCAGCAGCTATAATTAAATATACTGTGATTAATGTGTATATGAAGTTTTAATTTTAAATATAAAAATCTTTAAACAAAGTCAAGACAAAGTTTGATCATTTATTGTATTGGCTGTCCTGTCAAATGTCATTTACACCCCTCACTATGCTCTCTTCAAAGCCTGACTCCATTGACAAAAACAGTTACTTACCTGGTCTACCGCTGCCTCGATCAGTTAGTTTGTTAGTGTTATTGGGTGACTCTGGTGAATCCAAACTAACCCTTTAAAACACCAAAGTCACACAATAGCACAAACTAAGTGATCGAGGCAGTGGTGGACCAGCAGCTCCTGTGTTCAGTGAGGTAAAATTACTGTTTACAGTTTTTAGATTCTCCGATCACCGTAGAGGCATGTGAGGAAACCTAAGTTTTCTTGATGAATTCAATGTAACACAGAGTGAGTAACTGATACATAAATGGTCATTTGGGGGGTGAAGTATTTCAGAAACATTAATTAAAAATTTAAACTGGTAAAAACAGCAAATAAAAACAAGAGAAAATGTCTTGAATAGTTTTGTTTTTGTCCAGGTTTTTGAATAGAACAAGAAGTTTTGAATAAATGTCCCTCATGTTGCAACTGAGGAAAGGAAACACACTGAATGCCAGCGTCTGAAAACGTTTAACAAAGCTTTGTTTGTGGTCTGAAAAAAGACATCTACTGACAGAAATAACCACTATCATAAAAGACAGGAGACAGTGGCAGACGTATTCATTTATATTCCCGAACAGAGCTTTCTTTATTGATATTGATCCATGTTTTTACAGCAAATGTGCTGTCTGCAACTCAACATGGAAGAAAATAGGTTTATATTATACCCAAGTGTTTGTATCTTTGTGTCAAAAAAATCTTTGTGTGTTCCAAGTGGAGTTTTATGTGACTGTTTAAAAGGCTGTAACCACACCTGTCTGCGTTGTACTTGTGCTCAATAAAGTTGCACTGCCACACAGATACTCGCATGACACGACATCTCTCCACCTTTCTCTCCTCCTCACATCTTTCCCTTTTTCCTCCCTTCTTCCTTTATCAGCCGACGAGCATGAACGCAGCTTCATTTGTTTCTGTTTGCGCTCGTTTTGAGCTGTGATGCATGTTGGAAGAAGCTTTGAGATACTGTGCCCTTTTCCCTTCAGATTTCCCCTCCATTACCCCCTTTCCCCTCACTGTATATAGATAAGGTGAAATATGAAACACCCTTAAATATATTTTGAAGTTACGTCTGCTTGCTGATGCTTGCTGCATGTTAGCTTTGTTAGCATGTCCTTCCGTCCAACAGCTTGAACGACTTCAAAATGTCGCCTCATCCCTTGAATTTGCAGGGTGTTTCTCCGCATGTTGGCTCTGTCACAAGTGAAACCGCCCTCTCCTCCCTCTTCACGCCATGTCTTAGAGCACATAAACATGGAGAGCCATTGCTGTTTTTTCTTATCTTCTTTCCTCCTCTGAAAGACGTGGAAACATCTTTCTTAATTTTCTCTTTTTTCTCTTTCTCTTTGTTCCTCTTCCTCTGTTTCCCCGCGTGTTTGACTTTGTTGTGATTTGGCTCTTTTGTGTTCCATTTGTTTGGGACCCTACATGCGGTTTTTATTCTGATGTCACACCATGGAAACTGCTGTCTGTCATCGTGGCGGTGGTTTTCTCTGTCACTGTGATTTTTCGCCGGTATTCCCTGTTAATTTGCCATCTCACCTCTGTGCATGCGTACGTACGTGCCATCTGTTTATTTTGGCTTTGTTGCGACACGCTTCCTTCCTCTCCTTCCCTTCTTGCAATCTTTATTTCCTCTCCTCTTTTCCCCTAATTCCCTTTATACTTTTTCTTCATCTGTTCCCGTCTCTTGCTTTTATTTTCTCCCTCCAACCTTTTTTGCTGCTCCACACCTCCTCCTCTCCCTCCCACCTCCCCGTGACTCGGCAGAATTGGGACGAGGGAGGGGGTGATCCAGAAGAACCTGAGCGGCTTGCTGCCGGTGCGCGACTTCCGGCTGGACCCCAGCCTCCTGTACTCGCTGCCGCTGCTGGCCTTCAGCCCCAACCTCCTGGTGGTGTGGATCTTCCTCAGCGTGGCTTATTTCCTGGCCAAACTCCGCTGCAGCTGAAAAGCAGCGAGCTGCTCCCTCTGTTCGGAGTGACTGTGGAGGGGTGGGAATAATCCACACTGACTCCCGAGGGTGTTTCTGAAACTGTGCCACTGTCCTGTGAGTCTGTGTGTAAATCATGCACACTGATGCTGTACAGCATGTACACACTGTCCTACCCTGACTAAGGGCTTTACACAACCGACCCCCCCACTTATCAACGGCAAAACCCCGCCTCTTGTTTTTGTTTTGTTTATGGACACCTGTTTGTTGTTCTTCCTTTTTTTCAAGCTTCCAAAACACGTGGTGGGCAAGCCTGGAAAAATATCAGCACAGATGTTAAGGTTTACTTTTTGAGGCTCCACATGAAGTTTAGACCGCACTCGATGTCCACACTAAGCCTGCTACACCTGAAAACAGATGTACATGTGTGATCCACGCTAATGTTTTCAGAACGATCTCTAGCCACACCGAAATCAGTGTTTCCCAAACTTCTCCAGGAGGGCGTTGATCCTATGTTCTCCAGGTCCACTGTGGAGGTATCACTGACTGCTGTAACATGCACAAAATATTCCAGTTCCTGCCATTATTCTGGAAAAGACTGTAACCTACTAAGCTGTTTACATGGCGAACGGAAAATTTCCAAGATGAATATCCGATGATCAAAGTAGTCGGCATTGATATTCTGTTAATCGTTTAAAGGAATAGTGCACCCAAAAATGAAAATTCAGTCATTATCTACTAGGGTTGGGTACCGAAACTCGGTACTTGTTGTACTTGGTACCGATTCACGTCGGTACTACCAAGTAACGATTCACTTAAAATGAATCGTGCCAAATTTCGGTACCTGAGGTGGAGGTGGAGCGAGAGCACATGACTCGCACCTCAGACTCAGCAACAATGGAGAGCCGAAAGCGGTCCAAAGTCTGGCTGCACTTCACGCCAGTCGACGGAGACAGCGCTCGCTGCAATATTTGCGAAGCAACGTGCAAGGCAGGCGGGGGAAACACTACCAGTTTAAGGAATTATATTTATTTCTATTTAAATCTTTTTATTGAATTTTCAAAATAAATGCATGTGCAGACAAAAGTTAACCTGCAGCACTGTTCCTAAATGTTCTCAATAAAATGTTGAAACTGAGAAGTTTAGACTTTAAAAAGTACCGAAATAAGGTACCATTTGGTACCGGTACCAAATTCCAGATACCGGTACCGGTACTGTATCGGTTCAATTATAAACGGTACCCAACCCTATTATCTACTAACCCATATGCCGAGGGAGGCTCAGGTGAAGTTTCCAAGGAGAGAGGAGGTAGCAACACAACTCCACCTAATGGAGGCTGACGGCGCCCCAGATTCAAACGTCCAAAAACACATAATTGAAACCACAAAATATCTCCATACTGCTCGTCCGTAGTGATCCAAGTGTCCTGAAGCCCCGACATAAAAAGCTGTTTGGAAAAACGTCATTTGAACTCTGTTTTTAGCCTCACTGTAGCCTGTAACTGCCTCTCTGTGCACCGCGCCGACTTAGTGTGCTTTTTATGTCGGGGCTTCAGGACACTTGGATCACTACGGACGAGCAGTATGAAGATATTTTGTGGTTTCAATTATCTGTTTTTGGACGTTTGAATCTGGGGCGCCGTCAGCCTCCATTAGGTGGAGTTGTGTTGCTACCTCCTCTCCCATTGGATCTCCGAAAGTAATGTGAGGACTCTAAAACTTCACCTGAGCCTCCCTAGGCATATGGGTGAGTAGATAATGGCTGAATTTTCATTTTTGGGTGCACTATCCCTTTAATCGACCAGTGGTTACAGCTCCGTAAACACGGGAATCCCTTGTGACTTGAATACAATATCATTGGCTATGTTTACATGCACAAAATGCTACAATTTTGCCCTCACTCTGAAAGACAATATTCCTGCTCAGATGTTTACATGGTTAATGAAAATCAACCAATCAGTTTTCCTTTAATCTTCCTGTTTACATGCAGACGTGCCTGGAAAAAGGCCTGATTCAGATTAGCCAGAGGGAATATGCGACATGACTCATATCAGATTCAGAATATTGTCATATTCTGGAATATTAGTGTGCATGAAAACGTGGTCAGTGTATGTTAAGGGAGTATAACATCAGTAAGCTATAAGCTGCAGGTGTGTGATTTCAACATATTGACCCAGGGAAACATTACTGAGAACACTTTTAACGGTTTTATTAATGTGTCCTATAAAGAGGATTGTAAGCAGGGGACCATAGATACACCTACTCCTGGAGGAGCCCTTATCCTTCATGTTTTAGATCTCTCCCTGCTCCAACACAGCTGATTTAACTGGTCAGTTTGTCATCATTTGAATCAGCTGTGTTGGAGCAGGGAGAAAGCATGCAGGAAGGAAGATCTCCAGGAGACATTTGGGAAACAAAACTGATTGATTGAGCAGCACCCAGTCTGCATCATCAAGTTTTTACCCACTCTAGAGACCATTTTAGGTCAATTTTCGGCAGCCAAGTCACCAGAAGAAAACACATTGTACGCCTCTGCAAACCAAAGCTTTGTTTCATTTGTACTTTTCATACGTATATTAACGTTTATCAAGTGATGTAGGATATGAGCTGACCCCCGCCAAGCAGCAGACACCAACAAATAACATAATCAGGGGTTGTGAGTCAATGCAGCGATTCCAGCCACCAAACTTGGCCATTTTTAGCGACGCACTGCTGTGTTTCTTGCCGGGGTAGTGCCACGAAAAGCTGTTGTTTTTTTGCCAAGACAGAGCTGCGTTTCTATCTAAGATATGCTACAAAAAAGCGATTGTTTTTTACCCAAACATTGCTGCATTTCCTGCATTTTTTCACCCAGATGAAGCTGCATTTCCTGCCAGGATATGCTTCAAAAAGCAGTTGTTTTTGACCCAGACATTGCTGCATTTCCAGCTGCTTTTTAGTCACCAAACCTGGGTGTTTTTTAGTAACACTTGACTGTGTTTCCACCAGGGATGCTTCCACAACAAGTACTATTTTTCACCCAGATGAAGCTGCGTTTCCTGCCAGGATATGCCACAAGAAGTGGTTGTCTTTTACCCAGAAATTGCTGCATTTCCAGCAGCTTTTCAGTCACCAAACTTGGGTGTTTTTTAGCAACCATTCACTGCATTTCCACCCGAAATAGTGCTACGAAAAACTCTTTTCACCCAGACAAAGCTGTGTTTCCTGCCATGATATGCTTCAAAAAGCTGTTGTTTTTTACCCAGACATTGCTGCATTTCCAGCTGCTTTTTAGTCACCAAACCTGGGTGTTTTTTAGCAACACTTGACTGTGTTTCCACCAGGGATGCTTCCACGACAAGCACTTTTTTTTTTTTTTCACCCAGATGAAGCTGCATTTCCTGCCATGATATGCTTCAAAAAGCTGTTGTTTTTTACCCAGACATTGCTGCATTTCCAGCTGCTTTTCAGTCACCAAACCTGGTTGTTTTTTAGCAACCATTCACTGTATTTCCACCCAAAATAGTGCTATAAAAAACACTTTTTCACCCAGATGATGCTGTGTTTCCTGCCAGGATATGCCACAAAAAGTGGTTGTTTTTTACCAACACATCGCTGCATTTCCAGCAGCTTTTTAGCCATCAAATTTGGATGTTTTTTGTCAAGGGTTCCTGTGTTTCTACTGGGGACAGTGACACAAACGTGGTTGTTTTTTCACCAGACATTGCTGTGTTTCCACTAAACACCAAGTATTGTAAGCCAAAAAATGATCTTTTCTGAGCCGTAGCAAAGTGTTTTTTTGTGCCGAAACATAACCACACGCTAACCACATTGTTGTTGAAAAAGTTTTAATGTATCCGCTACATAATAACGCACAAATGTGAGGTATCTGTGGTTTGCAGAAACGGGCAATTCTAACATTTATCCTGACGATTCAGTTGTTTTGGGGTGAAAAATGTGTTAACGTGAACAGTTTCAAGGCTGCCATTCCCAGATTCATCCATGGTTCTTGGAAAGCTCAGTTTTTTTGGTGTGAAAAATGCTGAACCGACAAATTCGGCAGGCTTAGTGTGAACACAGAATCGTGTGTGATGCATCTGTTAAATGTCTTTGAATCCAGTCCAGAAATAGAAAACATCTGGATGGTTTTACAACAGTACAAATGGTTTATATGCAAGATTTAGAAAATGGACTCATCAGTGCACTCATCTAAATCTCACAGATACATTTGCGGTACATAGCGCCCTCTAGTGGACAGATTCATGACCTGTGTGACTGTCAGTGAGCTGCTCTGCCTTATTCTCCGTTCACACTAACCGACAGGCCAGACGTGACACCTGAGTTGTGAATATGTATAAAGATATGCAGATTATATATATAAATATTTGCTTTCAGGAAAGAGTTATTGTTGATAGTAGCTATCATAAACAAAAATCTATTTCTCTTATTTCATTTGTGCAATATGTTGAGCTCATTGTCTTCCGTGTGCTTTTGCACCCTACAAGCTAAAGTGGAGGAAACAAAAGCTTTTATTTGATGCCAAACTGAAGTAAGCTTACTCTGGCTTATGTATTATTATTTTCTGGCAGTATTTGCTCATTTTATTTTTTTAGGTCTTCCTGCTTTTAGTAGAAGGAGCTTGTTTGCTTCTACTTCAGCCTGTGCACTTTGCAGCAGATCTGGGTCAGTTGTGACTCGTCTACATGCAGTTTAATGTATGATTTTGACTCCCCAAACTTTAGGGTTAAAAAATTATCAGGTTAAAAAATGTGTCAATCTATTTAGTAAATTGTCTTTTTAATTATGTCTCAGAACAGTGGTTACATTTAGGATTAAAGAGTGTCAAACTTTGTATCCAAGATAAATGAACTGAACTCATGGAAACACTTCAGCCAGACTAAGATGATTACGCCAGAATTCAGGGTAAACTTTGTTGCATAAACTCAAAGTCTTTTAAATAGCACAGATAACCAACAGAGACTGGTATTGAGTTGAAGCTACGAAGTCCAAAAAGTGTGTACGCAAATACAGTTTATCTATGTAGATAACATTAAAGCCAAATTGACAAGAATACAAATAGACAGTTAAGAGTCAAATATCTTTGGGTATATAAAATAATATTTTATCACTCCTGCTTTTAATGATTGTAGTTGTAATTATTTCAGTGGCATACTCAAAAAAAATAATTTAATTATATTAATAATAAGGCTCTACTGCATATCATTTATTTATATATTTTTATTTTATTCATTTTTAATTTTTATTTTAATATTTGAACTTTCTATTGAGGTATTTGAATGAAGCTGTCATCACCTTTTGTGACATCATCACCCTTAAAACCAAAAAATCCTTAAACAAAATCCTCAAATTGAATAAAGTGATTCATCTTTATTTTATTTTTTTTAATCAATTTTCTTTAATGATAAACTGTAATTTATAGTGCTGTTGGATTACTGCTAATCTAACAGCTACACCTCCTCGTTAATGCCGATGCAAGCTGGAGAACAAACGTTTTTGACAGCAGTAAAATATTGCTTTTAAGGGGCTAAATGCTAACAAATACGATTGAAGCCGAATATTTCATTAGACAAAAACGTGAATTTGGGAAATCATTACATTTTTACTACATTTCTTTTAACTTTTGGATATAACAATGCTCTGGAGTTATTGGTAATGTTTGGATCACACGAGTCGGAAAAAATC